GAGACTCCAACTCAAAAAAAAAAAAAAAAAAAGACACAAAAATGAAGGGCTAAAAACATGTCATAATATTAAGAATGCTGGTATTATGGCTAGTTTGAATCTATTGTGTGCTTTCCCAAATTTTTGATGGAGAACATGTCCTTTTTTTTTCTAATTAGAAAAATGTTTTTGGAGCTGGATGCGATGGCTCATGCCTGTAATCCCAGCATTTTGGGAGGCTGAGACAGGAGGATTGCTTGAGCCCAGGAGTTTGAGATAAGCCTAGGCAACATAGTGAGGCCTTGCCTCTACAAAAAATCAAAATATTAGCTGGACATGCTGGTATGCACCTGTAGTCCCAGCTACTAGGGGGGCTGAGGTGGGAGGATTACCTGAGCCCAGGAGGTTGAGGTTACGGTGAGCCGTGATCATGGTCATGCTATGCTGCTGAACTCCAGCCTGAGTGACAGAAAGAGACTCTGGCTCAAAAAAAGAAATGTTTTTGAAAAAGATAAAAGAACCCCACACTCACGGAGCCATGGAGTTCCTCAGGCATACTCGGGTATTGCAGCTCTAAGGGGAGCTGGCATGTCCCCATCTGGATGCTTCCCTGTCCAATTTCAGATGAGGGTTTTTGGCAGACGAATTACGCTGGAACACTAGACCTAGACACACGGTGTTAGAGCACTGTTCCTGCAGCTCATCGGAGCCCTGGCAGGTTCGTCCCCAGGAAAATGACTCTCACTTGGATCTGGCAGCTGGTGTTGGCAGTAGCCCACCAGGACCCTCTTGGGCTGGGCGCGGAGGATGGAAGGATGCTGAGGTCCTTTGTGTCTGCGGCCTTGGCAGGGCTGGACTGTGCGCAGGCGGGAGGCCATGCATCTGCTGGCTTTCCAGCCCAACGGGTGCTATCAAGACCTCCTCATGGCAAGACAAGTGACGATGCAGTGGCTGCCCAGCGAGCGCTGGGTCCTGGGGATGAAGGGGGCCGTGGAGAATACCAGTCCCCTGTGTAGAAGGAGATGGGGTTGCTGGTAGCATGGGGGAGGGAACTGCCCTCTGAGGCTGAAGTGCCGCCTTGCACGCCATTAGCCCTACCCCATCTCTGTAAGGTAAGGTCCTGGGTACATCAGAGCCTGGGAGAAAAATGCAACAAACGGTATCTCAGTCTCCCATTGGAGACCTCTCCAGGGCCCTGAGGTTATGGGAGACGTGGGGCAAGAAGAAGAGGCACTAGAGGAGTCAGCCAAAGTCAGGAGGAGGCCAGCAAGGACTATGTCTGGGCTCCATGCGTGCGTGCCATGGAGGAGGTGCCATGGGGGGAGCTGACTCCACACACAGGACCCTGCTGGACTCCACAGTTCACAGGTGGTCTATAATTGTCTCCTATAAGCGTGGATGACCCTTATTGCAAATACAGCTTTGGTTTAATTTTGATTATTTTCCTCTGGGGCTATATTGGCTGTACTGTACCAGTGACTCATTTAACACTTTTTCCCTCTCATATCAAAAATGATGCTCAGCTCAATGTATTCTCTTCTAGATTTATAAGACCCAAACAGTGCCCTGCTTATGGGTGTCTAGAACACAGCACAAGATCTTACTTTCTTTGTGCAGTGTAGACACACATACCGCCCAGGCAAATGACCCAGAATGGTGACTCCAGACACTATGGATGCTTCACTAACTTTTCTCCTATTAAAGTGCTTGTTCTCCTACATAGGAATTTCTTCAGCTACTCAGGTGACGTTTTTATACTTAAATCTGGAGGTTCTAGAAGTACAGCTTAGAAAGAGTTTGGGTAACTGAAATGAACATATCGCTTGAGCATTGTACCCCCACCGTTGAAATCAAGTGATCAATTCTGTTTAAAGGGCTTGTGAATTTCATCAGGAAAAGCAGCTGAGTCAAAAATTAGAGTGTGTGACTCTTGTCCAGCAGGGCTTTTGTGGTTTCTGCTAACATTTCTGTTTGTTAAAGGATACTCTTAACACTCAACGTTGTAGGGAAAGTCAGGGTGGAGCAATCGTAGGCAACAAAGATAATCCAAAAAGATGGCGCTCTCCCCACATCTTTAAAATAAATTATAAAAAAAGATCAAGAAGAAAGATAGTGCTCTTGCTTTCATGAAGCTGGTTGTTGAATGAATGGCTGCAGTTTTTGACTTTTTGCCTTCGGTTTTGCCCGGCAAGAACCCAAACAGCTCATTTCCAACCTTTGATTCAAGATGGTAAGCAAGTGTTGAGTTAAATCTTGCCAAGTTTCTCTCATCCTCCCCCCTCCCTAAACCTAGCTTCTTGGTACCTTCAGGCCTTGGGTTTCCTTCTTCTCTCAAAGCCACTGGCTTTGCCTGCTGCTGGGCCATGTGCCTTGCCCGTTTGTCTTGGCCTGAGCTGTGGTTCCCCCAAGATGGGCAGTCCCGACGTGGGTGCAGATGTGGTTTTCTAAGTGTGAGCACAGATATCTGTGTGTGAGTGCACATGTGCACACATTTTTGCGTGCATGCACATGTGTGTGTATGTTCCTGTGTGTGTCCCTCTGAATGTGCATGTGTTTGTGTGTGTGCACTCCTGTGTATGTGTGCATGTGTTCCTGTGTACTTATATGTATATACGTAGGCACACACATGCTCCTAATAACTAGGGGCACCAGGACACTTAAGACGCACACATTTCCCCACCAAAGTCAGCTTTTACTTACATAGTTGGAGGCCAGGTCTGGGTGGAGATAGTCAATCCCTGTGAAAAGACAACATGGGAACCAAAGGTTAATACCTGCCCCCATGTCCTCAGAAAAGCTGTTCAGGAAAACACCCTATTTACAGAGACTGAGACTGGGAGACTTGCCATGAGGGTGAATACCCTGTCCTGAGCCCCTAGTTCCCAGGTGAAGGCATGAAGGTGGGCTGCACTGCCTGAGTGAAGAGACAGCTGCCCCCAGACACACTTCAGAGGACTGAAGCCAATTAGAGTCTAGGGCCCAAGGATAACACTTCTGACATAAATGTCAGCACTAAGGGGCTTAGTGACTGCAAGATGGATGGCTCATCAGAGCGGTGATCTGAAAGAGATTTGTAGAAATCTTGACATTTTTAAAGCATCAACTGGCATTTCTTCTGAAATGAAACTGGCCCTGGGGAGGAAAAGCGATTATTATTTAACAGGGCATGGCCAGAAATGAATTAGGCGGACGTTCTCTGGCAGAGAAATAATAAGAGAACACGGCTCAGCAAGAAAAGCCATTAGGCAAAGGGCAAATGGTTTCCAGCGAGGTGTTGCCTGTTGGGAGCTGATGCTTGTATGGCTCTCCAGGAAGTCTGAGGCTCGGATCACTCAGCAGGAGTCCTGTGTTTCTTCCTGAATGCAGGCCTGTCTTGTATCTCATAGTCTTTCCGAGGGTAGAATTATGGTCTGTGAGCACTGCTGAGCTCCTCAGATACTTGGACCTCACAAAACACTGTGGAACTTCAATGGCAATCAGAAGGCTCTTGTCTGGGTCTGCAGAACCAAATCATCTTTGCAGCAGTTACACCTGAGATCCAGCCCTCTAAGAAACAGGGCAAGTTCCTGCTGCCGACGTGGAATCATGGCATAAGTTTTTGGAGTCAAAGACAGGCCTTTGAGTCCCAATTGTCCCGACAACTGGCTGTAGGACTTTGGGCAAGTTGCTTGGCTTCTCTGTTCTTGCTTCCTTCTTGACTAGCTGGGGGTGAGGACAGTGCAGAGATTAAAGAAATGATTGCTTGTGATGCACCTAGCCCAGCGTTGCATTTCATAACCATGCCGAGGTGCAATCCTTAGAACCTAGAAGTATCATCAAGTCTAGCCTATAGCTGATATTTTCACGGTGTGCTTACTATGATTGTGCCACTGTTATAGTTTTGTCCTGAAAACAAGAGTTTGTATTAGAATGTGTATTTCTAAAAAGAAATTTTCTTTTTTTTTTCTGGCTGTACAATTGATAACTGGACCGAAAGTCATGGAACTACAGGACATCTGTTAGATTTCACTGTTGGTGTTTTGACATCTGAAGCAATTGCTGTTATTATGGCCTGGGAGAGTCTAACCAGGAACTTCTCATCCACAGTCATTATGCCTTCTTTCACTCCTCTGTCAGAAGAAAAGGGGTCAGAGGTGTAAAGACTAATGTTTTGGAAACACATCAACCCTTTTTTGGGACCCTAATGCAAAAATGGTCAATTTAGGTTGTGATGTGGGGCTGGGATGAGATCAGGCTTTTGAGATAAATGGACCCAGTTCCATTCTAGGCTCAGACACTGTAATATCTATGTGGTTTGGGCCAAGTGATATAATCTCTCTGGACTTTGGTTTCCCCTTATTTGAAATGGAACTGTTATTTACCTTGCAAAGTGTTTTTCAAGATTGAGACAATTCACTGAAAGTCTCTTCTTTTTTTCAATCAGAGTCTCACTCTGTCACCAGGGCTAGAGTGCAGTGGCATGATCACGATAATCACGGCTCACAGCAGCCTTGACCTCCTGGGCTTAGGAAGTTCTTCCACCTCAGCATCTCAAGTAGGTGAGACTACAGGTGCACACCACCCCCGCCAGGCTAATTTTTATTTATTTATTTTGTAGAGACAAGTTTTCACTATGTTGCCCAGGCTTGTCTCAAACCCCCAGGCTCAAGCTATCTTCCCACCTTGGCATCCCAAAGTGTTGGGATTACAGGCATGAGCCACCATACTTGATCTCATTGACAATCTTTAACTTATAGTAAACACTTGATATGTTATATTTCTTATCATCATTATTAGTACCATCATTCTCATATGACTAGAGCAATGTGGATAAAGAAAGATAGAAGCATTTAAAAAAAAATCTACTTGGCCCTGAATTGTACCCTACATCATTAAAATAAAAATGAAAAGCAATCGACTTGGTTTTAGAATGTTGTGTTGAAATTTAATTGTGTATATTTGTTAAAATAGGTTAAATTTTGTGTACTTGTTGGACAGTCATTTTTGTAACATATAGATAAGTTTTTAAAAATGCAGAGATAATTTTTTTTTCTTTTTTTTTTTGAGTTGGAGTCTCACTCGGTCGCCCAGACTGTAGTGCAGTGGCCTCTCC